TACTTGCAGTATAAAACTACTAAACTAGTAGTTTACTGAGACTATACTTCAAAGTGTACTAAAAATGCTACTACAAGTATTTCATTAGCAAACTATCAGTATACCTATAAGTTCACTTTTAGTATAGTTGCGGTACAAACGAAACATTTTGATGTAAACTAGTTGTGTACTCAAAGTTTACTACTGTTATACTTAAAGTATACTTAAAAGTATACTTTTATATACTAGAAAGTGGGCCAATTTAGTCCCAAGGAGTATTGAAATAGTACGCTTACAAGTATACTACTAGTACACTGATATTTGTATACTTACTACATAAAGTATACTTAAAAATATTCTTGAACTTTACTTAAGTATACTTACTAAAATAAACTTGAAGTATACTACTTTTTGGTAAGGGTAGCGTGTCTCCGACATAGTGACAACACTCGTTGCCTTTTCTAGTGCAGCTCAACCAGGTCTCATCCCATTCGTCGGTATTTGTGATATCACAAATCCCGGAAAATATGTGTTGTAGTCCAAACGAGTCGTTCGTTGTAGTTTTTGAAAAGTGATTTATTCATAATTTCAAGCATCTAAGCTTAAACTTTTCGATCAAAAGGTTTTAAAAAGCGTGTGAAACAAAATTCAGTCAAATGTATCAGGCTTATGTCTGAAATAATATAATATTGTGGCACTGCTAGTTACCCAGCATGCTTTAAACATCAGGGTCAAATCAGAGGGAGTTTTAGCTGGTTACGTGCAAATACTATAAAAGTGTGGAAAACAGTTTTAGGAAGTATTCATAGTTGGCTGAATATTTATATTTCGCTGTAATATTGCATGTTATTGTGTTACTATTGTTGAGATTTATAGTTCAAACTACGTAGATTCTGCCATATTTTTTGTTGTTATCACTTATGTTATGTTGTTTACTATAGGGTAGTGCAGAGATGATCTACTGTTATAAAAAAGCAAAAAGACAGAAAAAAGTTAGAATTTTAGCACTTCCTGTTTTATCATCCTGAAGTCATTGGGTGTTTGAAACTGATTTTGGGTTAAAATTAATGAGGTCTGTGGTCAACACAAACTCAAGATACTTTGTTGTTTCAAGTACATCATGCCAAACAGGTAAACTCTACTCACTTGTCTGCTTTTACAATCTAATTGTGTTTGTACCCTTGCAAATTATTCTAACGTTCAGAGAAAATGTTTTGAAATCAAGACTAAAAGAGTTGGTGGTGACATTTAAGTCATACGACTGCGGTGTAGTTCAGTTAATTAGATATATTTTCATATATCATTCCTAGGCCTGAGGTGACTTATTCCCTTGTGGTTATGGTTAAGAGCTTCATATATAGATGTATTTTGGCTCTTTGAGAAGATAACCAATGTTTCAGAAGAAATGAGCAGGAAAAAGGGAGGGGTTAGAGGAAAATAAAGGAGAGAAGGGCGAGAGTGAATGATAGATCATGACGCATTCAGTTCTGTGCCATCTGCTACAATAGGGCCTTTCGCACCGCGGGAACCTATTCATAGTACCAGAACTAATTGTGGAACTACACACTTTTTGGCATTTTTGCACCGCCGGAACTGGGTGCGATTTTAGTACCGGACTGCCTTTTTCGAGAACCAAATTAGCTTCTACTCCGATGCAGGGTCTAACCAGCACAACTGGTACTAATCGTGACGTAAGTAGACACTGATTGGCCAAACGCGTATGAAAACGCCCTCACCCGCCATGATTTAAAACGCCGTGTAAACATACTGTAAACATTGTGTCAATTTATTTCGCAAGTATGGAGAACAGCGATAGATGGACGGACGCTGAAGTGCAGGCACTTGTAGCAAATGTAGCACTGCCAGTTGTCGTTGGAGATTCTTAGTCCTCCTTTCTGTTCTTTCAATTGCTTTACGTATACGTCGACTTTCCATGTCCATTATTTGTGAAATCCGTGAGACACAACAAAAACACAGCTCCGATCACAGCGTCCTCAATCCTCCTGTTGTTAATGGTGTTCTTCTTTGTTTCTGTTGTTGAACGCTGCGCACAAATGACGTCGCTGTCGACCAGCTTATATCACTTCCTAGTACACACTGTCGGTGCGAATGCAGCCCTTTAAATGGTACTGGGAAATAGTTCGCGCAAAATCGGCCCAGTACTTTAGTACTGTACATTTAGTTAACATTTAGAACTAAAACGGTGCGAAAGGCCCTATTGATGTTGCTAAAAAAAACATTATTTTGTGTATTTCCACAAAATTGTCCCAGTACTTGAGTACTGTACATTTAGTTCTGGAACTAAAGCGGTGCGAAAGGCCCTATTCAGACAGCCATGCCATGAGGTTAATCTAAGGTCGTAGCAGTCTGGCTCTCTGTCTCTGATAATACACACGCTCACATGCATACGTGCTGTTCCTTTACACATCTTGTGCATTGTGTCTCTGTGCAGAATAATGGAGGTTCGACTATTGTTCTGTGCACATCTAGCCTTATAACGGGCTGTGATTTTCCCCATGGGAAGATCACCATGGCAATGAACGAGTGAAATGTGTGTGCGACTTAGACTTTTAATGTAGGGCTTATATTGTATGTAACATTAACAGTCAGTGCAATCCAGAACTGGTGTAAAGAAACCTAATGTACAATGCACAAGTATGAAAACAATGTATGTTGAGTGCTCTTCATCTGCTGGTTAAAGAAGGACGATTCATTATGTGATTCTGAATTTGACTGTCATAGTATGTCCTCATGAATTTGGTGACTGTTTGTTTTTGAAAATCAAAAAACAAAACAAAACAATAATAATCTAAACACAACATGCAATGCCCTGAAAGAATATAGGTCTACTGCTGTATCTTTTTTTTTGTTTTATTTGTGTTTCATAATTGTAAATGTCACAAAAATATTTTGTATTGTGACGTGTTCTAGACTGTTTTATGTTGTGTAAATGTGAATATATTTATTTTTGTGTTTAAATGAATGATTTAAAAAAATATAATATTTTGAAATAGCAGGTGAATAAAATAGATGATATAATATAATACATAATATGACAATAAATGAAAAACATGCATAATTGGGAATGATAGATAATTGTGTTTCTAACTACTAACTAAAACTTGACGGAGAAAATGAACATGAGACATTAATAAGAACTCATATGGCAGCTTCAGTCTCTCTCTTTGGCACACACATGCACAAACATAAATATACTGGACTATACAGTATACCATAGACAGTGTTTTCTGAGTGCAACATCAACCAAGTGTGACCTTCAAAAATGATGGGCAGAAATTTGTGCACTCAGTTGACCCTGATAAAAATGCTGATATTTTATATAATAACTGTTCAAGCGCAGATAGTGCAGCATTTATGGTGTCCACTATAAACAAATGTCATTTTGAAAGGTTGCCATCCCTCTTCATTGTAGTCTGGTGATGCTGAAATGTGCGGCTTGTGTACCGGATAGTGAATGCTGACCTTTGCCCTCCCCTCAGTTATAAACAGAGGAACTGTTTGCATTGTTCTCAATGTAACTGGGTGGTAAATAAGCTTAAAATTTGTTTCTCTCCTTGCATGTAAAAAAAAAAACTATTATTTTATGGTCCTTTGCTATGTTCAGTGAATTATAAAGACATGAAAAACAGTGGTTGCTTGTATTTTCCTAGAGTCGTCAGCAGGTGGCACTGTGTGTGTTGCGTATGAGACAGTACGCATGCGCTCTCACCCTCGGACATCTGGGTGAGACGTGCAGCGAGATACGCACTCTCCGCCGCCGTTTTTTTGGCGGGTTAGCATCAACTGTGCTGAGACTGGAGAGGATGGATGCAGGTAGTATGGACGATGAAGATGATTCTTCAATAATTGATAGTGAGGGATGGTCTCAGGTACCAGATGCATCAAACAAACCAAGGTAACACTCATACGCTTCCCGGTTACACAAGGGAACAGTTGGTCGAGTTTCAGAATAGTGACCCTGTCCTGCGGGTGTTTAGAGGGTTCTGGGATAAGAAAAAGAAACCAGTCCACTTGGAAGGAAAGTCTCTGTCCAGGTCTGTGAAGTGCCTTCTGAAACAGTGGAGCCTCATAAAAGAACGAAATGGGTTGCTGTATCGAGTAGTAAATGACCTTTCTGGGGAGAGCTGCTGGCAACTGTTGTTGCCTGGGTGTTTAAAGGAACAAGTGCCGCGGAGTGTGCACGACGATCTGGGTCACCAGGGTATCGAATGGACCTTGGGGTTGTTGAAGCAGAGGTGTTTTTGGTCCGGAATGTATGAGGATGTAGAGAAATGGGTAAAGAAGTGTCAACGGTGCATCCTCACCAAGATGCCTCAGCCCAAAGTTCGTGCCCCTGTGAGAGCATTTTTGGCTTCCAGACCCCTGGAAGTGATTGCGGTGGACTTTACAGTCCTAGAGCCTGCTTCTGATGGGCGTGAAAATGTTTTGGTTGTTACCGATGTTTTCACGAAGTTTACACAGGCGTTTCCCACAAAAGATCAAAAGGCCGATACCACAGCAAAGGTCTTGTTGAAGGAGTGGTTTATGAAGTATGGCGTCCCAGAGAGGTTGCAAGGTCGAAACTTTGAAAGTGAGTTGATCGCCGAGCTGTGCAGACTCTACGGGGTGAAAAAGACCCGTACGACCCCTTAGGTCTGCTTGTCATGCGGTGAATGTCAGCACCGATATGGTGTCTCAAGTATTGGCCAGTATTGGCACTGCGTTGTTCGAGAAGGCGTTACAAGGTGCCATGAATGCCAAAATTGGTGATTGAGTGAGTCATCGAGGACGCTGACTTATTGCAGGGGAGAATGTAACCGGGTGGTAAATAACCTTAAAATTTGTTTCTCTCCTTGCATGTAAAAAAAAACTATTATTTTATTGTCCTTTACTATGTTCAGTGAATTATAAAGACATGAAAAACAGTGGTTGCTTGTATTTTCCTGGAGTCGTCAGCAGGTGGCACTGTGTGTGTTGCGTATGAGACAGTACGCATGCGCTCTCACCCTCGGACATTTGGGTGAGACATGCAGCGAGATACGCACTCTCGGGAAATTGTGGAGTTTTTTTGATCATCCATGGGTAAATACAATGTTTTATTATTATATTTTGGATAAATACCAATTGTGGATGTATATTTTGTTGTATTAATTCGGCGAACTGTCATATTTAAAAAGTTATGTCGTGTAGAATGTCCGCGAGGATATGACGTCACACCATGTGGTGTATGCCCTCAATGTGTTCCTGGTGATAAATTTAAATCCCCAGTCACATCAATAATAGCACTAACGCTTTAAACCTACAAAAGGTCATATGCTGAGGATAATGTTTTATCAGTCACTTATCCACTTATGTAGGTTTGAATCCTTTTTTTTTTCTGCCTTTCTCCCTCTCGCCCTTTGGTGCGTGTGCATGTCCAACACCCTGACACAGCACACTCAAAGTGAGAAATTACATTTCTCATCCCTATAAGAACTGCTGCATCTGCGTTTTCACAGCGGTCTGTATTTATTTGCAAAGACACACACACACACACACACACACACGCACACGCACACACAGAGCATTAAATAACATGCTTTTAAGTGAGGCCATAGTTTTATGGTGAACAAGGGAGCCACTCTCCTCAAATTGTTAGAAATAGCCCATTAACGCATGCACAGAGTATTAGGCGTGTGCATGTGTGTGTGTGTGGTGCCGGTACTCAGTGTAAAGGGAATCTCAGTTAAATGAACAACCTCTCTTGCTTCTCTCTTTCCATTTGTTAACCCGTAATGGACAAGGCTTACATCTAATGAGGTGTAATTTGCATGTAATTTCGACTTAACGGTCAACCAGCACAACAGAAAACAACTTGATCTCCCTCTGGGTTGAAAGGTCCTATTACACAAAGCACTCCAGTGAAGAACCTCGCTTATTTTAGCTGGTGAATAGTTGATTGATGGTAAAAAAAAAAAAGAGAGCGAGCACATGCAATGCTCAAAATTAACTGCTCTCTGTGCCTCATTGTTGTCATTGTATTAACTGTTGCAGAAAAGATGGATCATTTGTGGATACAGACACTCTCTTTCTTTTTCTACACAGGGTGCTTGGAAATTGACAATGTGGTAATTAATTTTTTTTTGTTTTGTCATAATACAGTTTTTTCAACTGCTTACACACAAAATCTTTATTTGTCTCACAGTTTCTGAAACCTGACACTCAAACACCTGAACCACACACCAAATCTGCAAAACCATACACTAATTCTCGGCCTTTGACTCAGTTTTCAATTTCATAAAACACTTTTTGCAAATCACAACACACAATTCTCTATGTAACACACAAAAATCTAACAGGAGTTAATATTATGGCAAAGGTGTTTGCAAATGTTTGCGTTTTAGATGTGTTTGTGATATTTTGAATGCAGTGTTTCATTTTGCAAGAGATGTGAGGCATTTTGCATTTTGTGTGTGCAATTCCTGGATTTGTGTGTAAAGTTTTGAAAAAAAAAGGCAAAGTTTTGAAAATGTGTGTAAGCAGTTGAAAAAACTGTAAGCCATAAATGGTCTTCTTGCTGCTATAGTGCTGCTAAAAAACCTGTTAATCTGCCTCATTTCCTGTGCTGCTCCAAAACACACCACAGGGGGGTGCCATGATATTTAAACACTTGGATTAACAAACAAATCTGAAGACATTCACATCTACAGTATTTTTAAATGTCATACTTCCAAAAAGTGTTTGAATATAATATTCAAATGTTACATTATTTGTACATATTTGAATATTTGAGTCTCTCAGAGTGCCAAAATCAAACTACATTATTGCATCCTTTGTCTGCTTGATTTTTGAAAGTGTATGAACTGTGCACATGCCTTCAGAATGTTCTCTGAAAGAAATATTACATCTCAAAATAATCTACACTGTTACTACACTAATCTACACTACACTGTATATAATTTTATACTATAGTTATTATAGTATAGCTTAATTGCTACTATGTTTTAAATGCTTTAGAAATATGATAATTCAACATTAGATTTCACTTAATCGTTTATTTGTACTTTTTATTATTTATATTACACTGGTCCTTTTAGGACAATTCATGTTGAATTTAGGTGCATGAAGCTAGTTGAAAGTGGTCTAGGGAAGTCAGCAGAGAATCGATTGTGAGGACACAGAGCCTCTTCATGGGTGGTATCGATCTGCTCAACTTCTTAACAAAAACAAGTCCAGCTTTTGGTCCAGACACCGGTTCTTGCATTTTCTGCCCCAGAATTATATTCTATATTTTGAGTGGTCAATGCTTAGCTATTATTAATACAAGACTGCAAAGCCTTGGAGAAGCAAAGACTGAAAGGGAGACACACAGTGAGGCACAGCTGACAGCCTCATCCAGATCAATGCTCCAAATCTATCATTGGAGAGAGGTCATTAGGTCCTAATATAAAAGATGCCCGTTTGAATTTTACAGGACTATGTGAGATATTTAAGCAAAAAAAGAGAAAGAAAAAAAGGTCCGTGCTTTTTTACAGTTGGGTAACAAAATTCAAAAATTTGAAACAACCTGTGTTTTTGTGCACACATTTTTCTTTTTTAATATTAAAAAAAGACTAAGAAACATTAGCAGTTACACATATTACTTCATGTTAGGAGAAAAGAAAACAGAATGTGAGACATGAAAAGGAACTGATAGTCAACATTTGAAATGGATCAAAAAAAGTTAATCAAAGTTGTCCTAAGACAAGAACACATTTTGGTTTTAGGCTTTAGGACAAAGGTTTTGATCCATTTTAAATGTTGACTAGTGTACTTATTATGATTAGATGTTTTTAAAACCAACAAAAATGCATTAGAAAAATCAATATTAGTCTTTTGAGGGTTGTCCTTGACCTTTCTCACTTCACACTGCTTTACTGGGCTCAATGCTTTTGGGAGAAGATGTTTAATAATTAATACCATTGCAAATACAATTCAGTGTGTGCTTCTCTTTGGTAGTACAGCTTTCTGAATAATGCTTTCCTGTTTTATATATACTGCTTATACATTCAGCTGTGTGTGTGTGCGTGCGTGCGTGCGCCGCATGTTTACAATTGACTTTATCATTGATGAGAGTCTGCAGGTCAATAGAGCTTATTAAGAAAGCCAGACCCATTTGTGTTGCAGAAAGGGAGAAGGCTTGTGTGGACAGTAATGAACAACAATAATAAACTATTACATAAACACTGAGTCATTTGTTTCAGGAACATTTATGAAGATAATACTGAATGCCACATTTACACATGCACTTTCATCAGGAACAGCATTTACATGAACAACATGTCCTATAAAAATGAGAACAGGAGCAAGATGATTTTTTTTCCCTCAGTAAACAAGGTAAAGATTTGTATTATCTAAATGTGCCATCTGCACAAACATGTTTCTGTGTCATGAGACCGCCTCATTGATGTAATTTAATTTTTAATTTAAAAGTGCATCAGATTACTTGTTGACTTTATTGTATCTTGTTTTGTAACAATTAAAAAGTTTAAGTTGAAAAGTTTAATTGTAAAAATGCATTAGAAAAATCAATATTAGTCTTTTGAGGGTTGTCCTTGACCTTTCTCACTTCACACTGCTTTACTGGGCTCAATGCTTTTGGGAGAAGATGTTTAATAATTAATACCATTGCAAATACAATTCAGTGTGTGCTTCTCTTTGGTAGTACAGCTTTCTGAATAATGCTTTCCTGTTTTATATATACTGCTTATACATTCAGCTGTGTGTGTGTGCGTGCGTGCGTGCGCCGCATGTTTACAATTGACTTTATCATTGATGAGAGTCTGCAGGTCAATAGAGCTTATTAAGAAAGCCAGACCCATTTGTGTTGCAGAAAGGGAGAAGGCTTGTGTGGACAGTAATGAACAACAATAATAAACTATTACATAAACACTGAGTCATTTGTTTCAGGAACATTTATGAAGATAATACTGAATGCCACATTTACACATGCACTTTCATCAGGAACAGCATTTACATGAACAACATGTCCTATAAAAATGAGAACAGGAGCAAGATGATTTTTTTTCCCTCAGTAAACAAGGTAAAGATTTGTATTATCTAAATGTGCCATCTGCACAAACATGTTTCTGTGTCATGAGACCGCCTCATTGATGTAATTTAATTTTTAATTTAAAAGTGCATCAGATTACTTACTTGTTGACTTTATTGTATCTTTTTTTGTAACAATTAAAAAGTTTAAGTTGAAAAGTTTAATTGTAAGGTTTACATTTCATCTTGGTGTCAGTACATTTAAAGCGAAGTCATGGCCTAATGGTTAGAGAGTCGGACTCGTAACCCAAAGGTTGTGGGTTTGAGTCTCGTACCGGCAGGAATTGTAGGTGGGGGGAGTGAATGTACAGCGCTCTCTCCACCTTCAATACCATGACTGAGGTGCCCTTGAGCAAGGCACTGAACCCCCAACTGCTCCCCAGGTGCCACAGCAAAAAAAAAATGGCTGCCCACTGCTCTGGGTGTGTCTTCACAGTGTGTGTGTGTGTGTGTGTGTGCACTTTGGATGGGATAAATGCAGAGCACTAATTCTGAGTATGGGTTACCATACTTGGCCACATGTCACGTCACTTTTTTTTTTTTTTTTTTTTATGTTCACTTGGAGATTATAGGCATGTTTGAGATCAGGAATCAGAATTCTGTGTTTAATGTCCATTAAAACCAGAATTCTGTTTAATGAACAAGAAGCTGTCCCTGTGCATGACAGGAAAACATGTCATCTGTAAGTGTTTGTGGTTTGTAAATCAGCTCATCTTCTTCTGCATCCGTTCTCAGTGTTTCTGTGCAGCGTTTCAGTAAACAAAGTATTACCTTTAAAAGTAATACCTTTAAAATATAGCTCAAAATTTGCCATCATGTGTATGCTGCTCACATATTCTTATGCTTATTCTAAAATGTCTTACATTTGCTTCCAATTTGGTCAATGCTAAAAACAGAAAAGAAACATTTTACTGATGTTGCAAAGTTAACAAGTCTGCTTAAGTTAAGTCTTTATGGTTAAATAGCTTACAAGGCAGCAAATGTACGGCTAGCAAAAGGAAATGAACTAAGGCAACCACAAATGTTCCATGGTAAACCACCTTCAACTTGATTGGTGTGATACTAGAGCAGTTGTCTGAGTTGTAAAATATATACATATAATCAGTCCCTGAATTCCCAGGGAATTGAACCCATGATCTTAACATAGATAGTGCCATGTTCTACTGTTTGAGCTGCAGGAATGCTAGATTTCTAACTTTTTTCTTTTGCTTTTCTTGCTTTTTTTCACCTTTTTGCAGTAATATGGTTGTTGATAGAATGAAAAGTCTGCTGTGAGTCTACTGTGGACCAAGTAACAAGTAACTAGTAACAAGTAACTAAGTAACAAGACTAAGGACAAGTCTTTGTGCCAAAAATCTAAACAGTAACAGAGCAAAGAATGTTATATTGTAACTAGGACTTTGAACCAATGAAACAATTATTTAAATGGATTTAATTTATAAGTAATTTCCTGTACATATTTTAAATATGTATCCTAGTGCTGTTAGAAGAGTTCTGATTATTCTTAAAGGGGTCATATGATGTTGCTAAAAAGAACATTATTTTGTGTTTTTGGTGTAATGAAATGTGTGTATGCGGTTTAAGGTTAAAAAACACATTATTTTCCACATACTGTACATTATTATTTCTCCTCTATGCCCTGCCTTTCTGAAACGCGTCGATTTTTACAAAGCTCATCGGTCTGAAAAGCGAGGTGTGCTCTGATTGGCCAGCTATCCAGAGCATTGTGATTGGCCGAATACCTCAAGCGTGTGACGGAAATGTTACGCCCCTTACCATATTGTAATGCCCTGTCCGGCCGGAGCGACGAGACATAAACATTAAAACCCATTATAAACGAGGCATTTGTTGCATCCAGTGGGGACATAATTACGGATTATAATGACTTATACGGTCTTTTTACGCGTTGCGTTGCATCGCGCCGCATAAACATAAAACCATGTCTGCATTTGTGATCGGAGAAATGACAAACAACAAGTGCTACTCTACACTGCTCAAAACTTGCGTTTGAATCGTCAGTGGCAAATTCTTTAAATATAAAAAACGTACTTACAGTCTGTGAGAACGCGAGTTTTGAGCAGTGTAGAGTAGCGCTTGCTGTTTGTCATTTCTCCGATCACAAATGCAGACATGGTTTTATGTTTA